GGTACTACGTTCGGGTGTACGATGCCCGTCAACACGTACGTGTTTCCGGTGTGGCATGTTGGGGCATCAGGCTGCTGGGTGCTCTGCGGCTGCCGTAGCTCCTGTGAATATCTTCCGTGAGGAGGATTTCCCACCACTCCCTGTGCAGGAGGATTCAGTGAGTGAGGATGTGGCAGTTCCGTTAGCTACTACCCCCCCCCCCCACCCCCTGTGTCACCCGACGTGCCTGCTGCTGTTGTCGCCTCTCCACTGGAGGTTGTGCTGCCATCGGTTGGTCGTCCTGATCCAGTTGATGTCACTGGTGCTCCCATGGTTCTTCCGTGCCCGTCGTCGCCTTCTTCATCCTCTCCAGCTGTTGCGCCTGTCGCATTGTCTTCGCTGTGTGTCCTGGACGTGCTGGTGAAGGGGGTGGATGTGGGGGTCTTCTGCTGTGTTGGGCCCGGTTTTCCCTGTGGTTGAGGCTGCTGCCATCCTGCAGTGTGCATCTGTGCGCCCGGCCCGTGTTTCTGGCTCTGATGGTATATATACAGCCGGAGCCCAAGCATTCTCGCCATATTCTTCTGCCTGGGCCGATGTGGGGGACTTCAGCAACTGTGCGTCTTCCGACGTCGACGGGGAGGTTCCAGATGCGTCGCTCTCTGCTGCGAAGATGGTGGCGGAGGTCCATGTGCCTCCGGCTGCGGATGACTGTGTCTCAAATTTACCTTCTGTTTTTTCTCCTGCAGGGGGTTCTCTGCAGTGGGAGGTGGTTGCTCCTCCTGCTGTCGATACTGTGGGTGCTGGTGCTGGCCGTGGCATCGTGATGGTGCTGAAGAAGGATGCCCGCCGTCGGGGGGTTCCAGCTGGTGCACCGTTCAATGGTTGGTGAGGGGGCCTGTGCGGCGCCCGAGGTGGGACCTTATGCACATGCTGATGTGCAGCCATGTGCGCCCCCGGTGTGCTTCTGAGTGTGCCATCCTGTGACTGGCCCCCCCTAAGAAGAAGCCCTTTCCTATCATCTTGGCCTCCGGGGAAGTGTGTGATGCGTCTACCTCTTTGAAGTTTGATATTATTGATCACATGCTCTCTGTTCCGTGGAGCCCTACTTCCATTTGGGTTCCACGGGGATGGTGTTTTGTCCATGGTGTGCTGGAATGTGCTGGAATGTGTGCTGGAATGGAATAATACCTCGACCATGTGCGGCTCCTGGTGGTCAGGTTTCGGAGCACACCCAGTTGCTTTGGGAGGTGTATTGTTTACGCTTTCCGGCACAGGAGTATCCGGATAAGTATGAGTAATCCGTGTGGCTGGTTTCTGTTTGTGTTTGTATTTTGTTTACTTGTTTGTCTCTGATTTGCTTGGTATTTGCTCTGGTGTGTGTGTGTGTGGCTTTGTTTCCCCGGTGCCTGCGTGCACCAGGGGGTGTCATCGTGTGTGTGCTGTTCCGGTTTGTACGTGAATTCATGTACTATTTGTGCGCTTGTTTGTGTTTTGATCAGTGCCCTTTAGGCTGTTTCTCTGCCTGTTACTGTTTTGTTATTTTCTGTTTATATCCTGTGTTTCTTTTCTGTATTTCTTGTATGTGTTTCTTTTGTGTCTTCTTATATGTCGCTCTTTGTCCTTGTGTACTGTTACTGTTACTGTCTTTTGTTTTATGTTTGTCCTACGGTGTGGTTGTACTTCGTGTTACTGTTTTGTTGTCGGCCTTTCAGGCCGGTGTTTCTGTGCTTTGCTTAATTTCTTTCCTTGTGTTGTACTGTTTTATTATATTTATTAGCATGATTTGCATGTAAATATAAAAATATATAAATATAAGAATATCACCGTAGTGTTTCCATAAGTTCCATTCCTCGTCTCATAATACCAATATTTTCATTATTATTTTACTGTTGCCAATGACAGCGATCAAAATATTTGCTATTCATGAACATTATAAACCATGATTTAAATACTTTTGTGCTTTGGAAATGTAAAACACAATCCGATTATTTGTTCGAACGTTAATAGTGTTTACATTTGGTTTGTTAAATCAAGAAAAATACTGTTGAGCGTGCTTAGCATCACTTTTTAGGCAGGAAAATTGTAATCGCTTAGCATTGTTTATTCTTAATTGTTGACTCGGCGTTAATTTTCCTGTGTTTTTTAAGATAAGATCACACACTGCAAGGTTTGCAGGAGCTACAACTTTTTTTTTTTTTTTTCATACTTTACAAATTTGCTATGCAAAATTTGTTCATATTATCAAATTAATGTACTTTTATGGAAAAATATATTTTGTTTAATGAATTTGAAATTAAATAATTTTAGATATTTGATTGAAGCACATTTTAGTCGTTAAATAACATGCTACAAATAAATTTTCAATAATATTTATTATTCATCTTATCTGAAAATGATCTGTTCAGTTACTCCTACAACTACTGTGTGTGTATTCACCTATTTGTATTTACCTATTTGTTCTTGGGGGGGTTCAGCTCTGCTCTTTCAGCCCGCTGTAACAACTGAAGCTGTTTTAAAATAAGTAATTGTATGGAAGGCAGTGGGATATGCCTTTGTACAAAAGTTAGAGTCAAGTTGTAGTTTGACCTGACCTAAGCACAAGGTCATCTCTCCTGAGATTAGCGGTTAAAATACAAAATGGCCGCCACCTTTGTCTTAAAGCAACGTATAATGAATTATTTTACAGAATTCAGTAATTTAGAGAAATTCAAGTCTTCATTCAAATTGTATTCAATAAACTGTTTAAAGTATCGAGTATCCTCAATTGTCGGAATACTTTAATAAGTCACCATCAGTGACGTCACTAGCTGGGACTAGCCCTGGACGCGGAGTGATTTGGGCGACCCTAGGTCATAAGGGTCACCAAAGCCTTCCATATTTTAGGTAATTCTCAAAGGTCAAATAGCCATTTTGTAATCGGAAATAGCTCTTCCCTAAGATGCCTGTGCAATTACCTTCAGTTTAAAAGAGTTCAACCATCTGGGGGTTCAGTGCAACAGTGATGAGTTGTTCAACTTAAACCCTGTTAGTAAACTTAGTGAACTGGCGTAGGAATACCCCCCCCCCCTGATGTGGTGAGGAGAGGGAGGAGAATTCAGTGTGGACCGGTCATCAACTGAGGGAAGTCATCCACTCTCGCCCTCTCCCTACATAGATCAGCATTACATCAAGCTGGTTGCGTAAAGAGGTATAGTTGCTATAGTTTGGTATAGGAAATTAGTTCATCTCATGCCTTAAGTCAGGGAGTGTTAAGTATAGGGAGTGCTTTAATTTAGATTTTGTTTTAGATTTTGAATAAATTATTTAGTTAGTAATTTGCATTTTTATTATTTCCATTTCATGTTTCCATTGTCTCATGTCCTTGTCACATGGTCCCCACGAGGTTGAGTTTTCGTTGGGCCGCAAAACCTTATAGAGCGTAAGAGTTCAGTTATCCCTTTTGTTTGCTATAATTTCCCACACTTAACGTAGATTGTTCCCTCCTATTCCAAATAACTTGGGATCAAGTCCCAAGGTTCTTCGAGAGCATAATCGGTCCAGACCTAGGTTATTGCTCCCAGTGTTAATGGTCTGGTGGTGGCGGCGTAAAGGAGATTCTACAGTTTTCTAGAGGTCAATTCTACAGTTGATTCTACAGGCTGTAGAATCAATTCTGATATCACAGCCCACGTCGTGAGACTGTAGAATCTTAGCCTGTCAAACGGGTTAAGACCACGTGGTGTGGGATTCGGCTTAGAGTAGTAGCTCTGGGGTCCCTTGGATTAAAGAGAATTAAATCAGAATACGGGTAGAGGTAAGGGGTAAAGGACAGAGTAGAGCCGATACCCCCCCCCCCACCCGTGTTACACCGCCTCTCAACTGTCAAAAAACTGTAACTTACTACTGCTAATTACTTCCCCCCCCCACCCCCCGACACACACATCTCCCGGGAAGCACCTCCGTAACAACTGTCTAAGTCCCAAGTACCTATTTACTGCTAGGTAAAAGGGGAATCAGGGGTTGAAAGAAACTTTGCCCATTTGTTTCTGCCTGGTCCGGGAATCGAACCCGGGTCACAGAATTACGAGCCCTGCGCGCTGTCTGCTTAGCTACCAGACCCCCCCCCCCCTATGTGTGAGTGTGTGCACTCATCTCTTTGTGCCTGTGAGGGTTGAGCTCTGGCTCATTGGTCTCGCCTCTCAACTGTCAATCAACTGATGTACAGATTCCTGAGCCTATTGGGCTCTACACCTGAAACTGTGTATGGAGTCAGCCTCCACCACATCACTGCCTAATGTATTCCATTTGTCAACTACTCTGACACTAAAAAAATTCTTTCTAATATCTCTGTGGCTCATTTGGGCACTCAATTTCCACCTGTGTCCCCTAGTGCGTGTGACCCTCGTGTTAAATAGCCTGCCTTTATCTACCCTGTCAAGTCCTCTGAGAATCTTGTACGTGGTGATCATATCCCCCCTAACTCTTCTGTTTTCCAGGGACGTGAAGTTTAATCCCCGTAGTCTCTCCTCGTAGGTCATACCTCTCAGCTCGGGTACTAGTCTGGTGGCAAACCTCTGAACCTTTTCCAGTTTAGTCTGTGTTTTTTTCCAGTTTGTGTGTGTGTGTGTGTACTCACCTAGTTGTACTCACCTAGTTGTGCTTGCGGGCGTTGAGATCTGGCTCTTTGGTCCCGCCTCTCAACCGTCAATCAACAGGTGTACAGGTTCCTGTGTGTGTGTGTGTGTGTGTACAAAGAAATTCATCTTGTCATTGTAGGCACTGATTCCCTCACCTACAAAAATTTTTGAATTCAGTTATTTGTTCAAATTTCTACCTTTAATGACTATGGTGATAATATAGATAAAGCGACTAGGCAGGAAAAAACTGTAGTTCATTCTCTCTTTATTTAAAAAAAATAAAATATAAACATTTATCTCTCCTGTTGTGTTTGGTGAAGGAAGTGCACACTAAGGGCCTCAGGGCAGGACAAACCGGAGGCCACTGGGTGATTACTTCGGTGTGCTTTGGAGGATGTTGGACGGTTACTTCCCGTACCCTCCTCCATGACCACCACCATAGCCGCCATGGCCACCGCCACCGTATCCACCGCCGCCATGGCCACCGCCACCGTATCCACCGCCGCCGTAGCCACCACCGCCATGGCCGCCGCCTCCGTAGCCGCCGCCGCCACCGAATCCACCGCCGCCGTGGCCGCCGCCGCCACCATATCCACCACCTTTAGGGCCTGCGAGGTTGAATTTGTTGTTTGATGTTCCACCAACACCTCCGTAGCCACCACCTCCGTGTCCTCCGCCTCCGTAGCCACCACCTCCGTGTCCTCCGCCTCCGTAGCCTCCACCACCGTAGCCTCCGCCCCCATATCCTCCTCCGTGTCCACCACCACCTCCGTGTCCACCAGATTGAGCCACGGAGGCCAGAAGAGCCACGCCCAGAAGAGACAAAATCACCTTCTGAAAAATGTATCGTAGACATTAACAAGACAAAAGTCGCTACAACAAAGAGAAAACTGTAACAATTTAATATTAATAATTTCACAGATCAGTGACGTGTGACTGATATTTACAAACAAATTTATTGTTACAACAAAATCCGGACAAAACACACACACACACACTACAAATGACAAGGAAGTGTGTGAGGAATTGAATAAGAAATTCCAGGAGGTCTTCACCTTAGAGCAAGGAGAAATTCCAGAGGTAAGTGAGGGAATAGCTAACCAGGAACCACTGGAAGAGTTTGAGATTACCAGTGGGGAAGTAAGGAAGTGTTTACTAGAGTTGGACGTGACGAAGGCTATAGGCCCAGATGGAATCTCCCCTTGGGTTCTAAAGGAAGGAGCAAGAGAACTGAGCCTACCACTCTCCATAGTGTATAACAAATCACTGGCAATAGGGGAACTGCCAGATATTTGGAAAGCAGCTAACGTAGTCCCGATATACAAGAAAGGGGATAGACAGGAGGCACTGAACTACAGGCCAGTGTCCCTAACCTGCATACCATGCAAGCTGATGGAGAAGATTGTGCGAAAAAAACTAGTGGAGCATCTGGAGCGAAGGAACTTTGTAACACAGCATCAACATGGGTTCAGGGATGGCAGGTCCTGCCTCACAGGGTTACTTGAATTCTACGACCAGGCAACAAAAATAAGGCAAGAAAGAGAAGGGTGGGCAGACTGCATATTTTTGGATTGTCAGAAAGCCTTTGATACAGTGCCACACAAGAGGCTAGTGCGAAAGTTGGAGATGCAGGCTGGAGTGAGAGGGAAGGTACTCCGGTGGATAGAGGAGTACCTAAGCAACAGGAGACAACGAGTCTGTGTGAGGGGTGAGGTCTCAGATTGGCGAGACGTCACAAGTGGAGTCCCGCAGGGGTCAGTCCTTGGACCTATACTGTTTCTGGTATATGTAAATGATCTCCCAGAGGGTATAGATTCGTTCCTCTCAATGTTTGCCGACGATGCAAAAATTATGAGGAGGATTGAAACAGAGGATGATAGTAGGAGGCTACAAGATGATCTGGATAGACTGAGTGAATGGTCCAACAAATGGCTGTTGAAGTTCAACCCGAGTAAATGCAAAGTAATGAAACTAGGCAGTGGAAACAGGAGGCCAGGCACAGGATACAGAATAGGAGATGAAGTACTTAATGAAACAAACAGAGAGAAAGATCTAGGAGTTGATATCACACCAAACCTGTCTCCTGAAGCCCACATAAAGAGAATAACGTCTGCGGCATATGCGAGGCTGGCTAACATCAGAACGGCGTTCAGGAACCTGTGTAAGGAATCATTCAGAATCTTGTACACCACATATGTAAGACCAATCATCGAGTATGCGGCCCCAGCATGGAGCCCGTACCTTGTCAAGCACAAGACGAAGCTGGAAAAAGTCCAAAGGTATGCTACTAGACTAGTCCCAGAACTAAGAGGCATGAGTTATGAGGAAAGGATGCGGGAAATGCACCTTACGACACTGGAAGACAGAAGAGTAAGGGGAGACATGATCACAACCTACAAAATCCTCAGGGGAATCGACCGGGTAAACAAGGATGAACTATTCAACACTGGTGGGACGCGAACAAGGGGACACAGGTGGAAGCTGAGTACCCAAATGAGCCACAGAGACGTTAGAAAGAACTTTTTCAGTGTCAGAGTAGTTAGTAAATGGAATGCATTAGGAAGTGATGTGGTGGAGGCTGACTCCATACACAGCTTCAAATGTAGATATGATAGAGCCCAATAGGCTCAGGAATCTGTACACCAGTTGATTGACGGTTGAGAGGCGGGACCAAAGAGCCAGAGCTCAACCCCCGCAAGCACAATTAGGTGAGTACACACACACACACACACCTGACACCATTCACCAGAGACAACATGCACCACACACCTGACAATTGAGGCCGCACGTTAGAGACAGTATTAATTTTTTAACCAATTTGCAAATCTTAGAGATAAAACAGATATAAATGATGTAAGTTTTAATAATGCTTTGAACCGAGCACAAATGTTAACAGGACAATATTAAAACACTCTTTTAACCATGTCGTAGCTCAGTCGATTAAGGCAGCGTCTAGGATGCACTTGGACGCAGGTTCGAATCCTCGTCACGGCCCTTGTGGATTTGTTCAGGACAATATTAACATTCAACTATATGTCCAGTTATTTCTGGGAAACTCCTGGAAGGTTACCTGAAGTGAGGTTGAGACATTTGGCTTGCAGAACTATGAGCCATCGGCTGGCACAGCATCCCTCATGTGTTATTACAGCCAAACAAAAAATCTACAATTGCTATTACACTATTTAGAAGGAAAATGGATATATTACCTTTGTGAGAGTGAATACAGGAGAAGCAGTTGGTTAAACACTCTGCCTGTGTGTTAGTGTATTTACAATGGAAAGTAAAACCATTGTTTTACTTTCTTATATTTATACTTGAAGCTAAGTATGGAATGTCCTCCCTTTCCTCGTGTTCCAAAAGGCTGCGCCTGCTCAGTGCTCCTCTCACTGACACAATATTCGTTTTATCCCTATGGTTTATCCGATCTCTGTCTGTGTTCTCTCATTTCCTTTCTTCTCTCGACAAACAGTCTGCCCTTGTGTATTTTGACCGATATCCCCGAGGATCTTTCATATCGTGATCATATCTCCTGTAGCTCCTTTGGAACCTGCCATGAGCAAACTTTTTGATATTTAAAATATTATCTATGTATCTTAGGATAATGGTTTCTGGACTTAATGAAACTTACCTAATCGTATCTGTAAACTTGAACTTCAGCTCTTGGACTCAAAGCCTTAAAGATATTAGTCACAATACAATGATTCCCGATCTATAAGTTTCGTATTATAATAATTTACATAACCATAGAGCAGGCTTCAACTACCGCCATGAGTAGTTCATTAAATTTTTGTACTGCTCTGTTTGTGGAGTATTTTCTAAAATCTGTAGGGAACTTCTGTCACAATTTTACATCAATGCCGCCACGTTCCGTTCTGTACATATTATTCATGCCGTTTCTGTTCTGTTAGTTCCCCTAAGAATGTATTGCCCTAGTTCTTACAATATCCTTACTATAAATTTCCGTGAGTGTGTGTACTCACCTATTTGTGCTTGCGTGGGTTGAGCTTTGGCTCTTTGGTCCCGCCTCTCAACTGCTAATGTGTGTACTCACCTAGTTGTGTGTGTGTGTGTGTGTGTGTGTGTGTGTGTGTGTGTGTGTGTGTGTGTGTGTGTGTGTGTGTGTGTGTGTGTGTGTGTGTGTGTGTGTGTGTGTGTGGGTGTGTTTAGTTTGCTCAGCCTGTTTGCATTGCTTTATAAAGCAAGTTTTTAAATCTATGAATAGGTTTTCTGATTTCATGTACACTCTCACACTGTGGTTCTTTCTCACATCCCAGCAATAAATCTGAGGTTCCAGCTATCATTTAGGTCTCTTCTTCCTCCAGAATCTCATGTATTTCCTTTCTCTCTCAAATCCTCTTAAGAATTTGATGTAGCAATAGTCTCCAGTCCGACTATGTGTGTGATGAAGCCTGTTGTTTATACGGAAATGTGAAGCTCACCAAACCAACCACAGGCCGTCACGGGGACGTCCAGAGAGGAACATTACCATTGTGTGGATGTGTCCGGCGGCGGCTGGCGACGGACTGTAGCGTCGAGAGTGGCTTCCTCGCCTTATATACGCTCTTCTCGCTTCACCAACACAATACAATCAATTCCAGTCAGCCAATTTGTGATGAAACTAACTTGTGAGCATTTGCACAATTTCATAAATAAATGATATTTAGCCATCTGAAACACGGAATATTGTATAGGTGATTTATTTTATGAAATTAATGTTGTTTAATCTTTCATACGTTCGTGAATGGAAATTGAAGCAACAAATTATATCACTATCGTGTTAATCAACATATGTTTAGTCGTATGAACAATAGTAATATACAATAAAGTGGATGAAAATATTGGCAGGAAAAAGACGTTAACATGTTTGGTGGATTTTTTTTAACTTATAATAAGGGTTCGCGAACCATAATCATAAAGGAAACTAAAGAAAACCAATTGAATCGAGAATTCAGCTCTTGGATTACCTGTGTGTGTGTACTCACCTAGTTGTGCTTGCGGGGGTTGAGCTTTGGCTTTTTGGTCCCGCCTCTCAACCGTCAATCAACTGATGTACAGGTTCCTGAGCCTACTGGGATCTATCATATCAGCATTTGAAACTGTGTATGGAGTCAGCCTTCACCACATCACTTCCTAGTGCATTCCATTTATTAAGCTACTCTGACACTGAAAAAGTTCTTTCTAATGTCTCTGTGGCTCATTTGGGTACTCAGCTTCCACCTGTGTCCCCTTGTTCGTGTACCACTGTTACGAACCCAAGTCCATCGTCGGAGCACAGAGCAGCGACGTCAACGCCATCTGTGAATCCGCTCCCGAAACCCCCCACAACATGGACGACGCCATCTAGTGGTGACAGGAATATACCGGCAAGAGGCGCTAGATTCCTGTCCCAGTTAGCTCGTGAGGTAGCTGATGCAGACCTCTAGTGAGGTGGTGCTTAGAAAAGCAGCGCCATCTATCATAAGCGGAGATGGATGTATGTGTCTAAGTCAGTAAGTGTTGTTTCCTAGTGTCCCAGTGTACTGATGGCGTGTCTGTATTCACAGATTCGACGTAGGGCTGCTGTGATACAAGGACAGGCAGTCTACCCAGGGCAGCCAAGGTCTCTACACCATTCTGCTTTACGAAAGCAGTGAGCCTCCGCCGGAAGAGGACTGTGAAGTGTTTTACTGTCTGCCTGTGGAGTGGCAGTTACGGGATTCGCCGTACCCGGGGCTGGCTAGTAGAACAGACGTCTGACTAAGGTGCTGAAGAGGAGAGTAACCAGCGAGTTGCACGAAGCTCCTGCCTAGGGCTCGCTACCCTAGTACTTGCACGTGAAGTGGCCCAGCAGCGCGAGGCTGATTGGTATCTGCCAGCACCAGGCCGGACTGTGATTGTGGGCCTTCACGTGGAAGCACTTAAAGAAACTAGTTTGGCTGGCCCGTGGCCAGGGTAGACTCAATGTAGTTTCCCGGTACCTGCTGAGGACAGTACTACGGATGAGGAAACACGATAGCTTATAAGACTGCATCGCCAGCATCGAAGAGCGCTTAGTGTTCTATAAGACACTTTTGTACATATTAGGTATACTAATACTTTTGTTAGGATTATTTATGAGGTGATAGAAAAAGTTATCATGTATAAATATATCAACATTTTATGAAGTGTAGTATTAAATACAACCCCCCTTTTGTTTTACTTGCATTACCGAGCTCACTCCTTGAAAGCCACTACTAACTTGGGAGCCGGATACCAGAACTTTAGTACCATCAGAAAAGAACCCGGTTGCGACCCATTGTGGCCGTAACAACCACCTGTGTTAAATAATCCATCGTTGTCTACACTGTCAATTCCCCTAAGAATTTTGTATGTGGTGATCATGTCTTCCCGAGCTCCTGTCTTCCAGCGACGTGAGGTGCAGTTCATGCAGCCTGTCCTCATAACTCATGCCTCTTAGTTCTTGGACTAGCCTAGTGGCATACCTCTGAACTTTTTCCAGCTTTGCCTTGTGCTTGACTAGGTACGGGCTCCATGCTGGGGCTGCATACTCCAGGATTGGCCTTACATACGTGGTATACAAGGTTCTGAAGGATTCCTCATACAGGTTTTTGAAAGCGGTTCTAATGTTATCCAGCCTCGCATAGGCCGCTGATGTTATTCTTTTGATATGGGCTTCAGGAGACAGGTTTGGCGTGATATCAACTCCTAGATCTTTCTCTTTGTCCGTTTTGTGAAGGACTTCATCTACCATTCGGTATCGAGTGACTGGCCTCCTAGTTCCTCCTCCCAGTTTCATTACCTTATATATACTTGGGGTTGAACTTTAGTATCAATTTGTTGGACCATTCCTTCAGTTTGTTTAGGTCATCATGTAGTCTCATACTATCTTCCTCTGTCATGATGCTCCTCATAATTTTTGTATCATCAGCAAACATTGAGAGGAACAAGTCAATTCCTTCTGGGACATCATTTACGTATATCCGAAACATTATAGGTCAAAGGACTGATCCCTGTTGGACTCCAGTGGTAATTCCCCGCCACTCCGAGACCTCACCCTTCAGAGTGACTCGCTGTTTCCTGTTGCTTAGGTATTTCCTTATCCAGTAGAATACCTTCCCTTTTACTCCTGCCTGCATCTCCAGTTTGTGCACTAGTCTCTTATGCGGTACTGTGTCAAAGGCTTGCTGGCAGTCTAGAGATTATGCAGTCTGACCAGCACTCTCTCTTTTGCCTAATTTTTGTTGAGTGTGTGTGTGTGTGTGTGTGTGTGTGTGTGTGTGTGTGTGTGTGTACTCACCTAGTTGTACTCGCCTAGTTGTGTCTGCAGGATCGAGCATTGACTCTTGGATCCCGCCTTTCGAGCATCAGGTGTTTACAGCAATGACTCCTGTCCCATTTCCCTATCATACTTGGTTTTAAAATTATGAATAGTATTTGCTTCCACAACCTGTTCCTGAAGTGCATTCCATTTTCCCACTACTCTCACGCTAAAAAGAAAACTTAATAACATCTCTGTGACTCATCTGAGTTTCCAGCTTCCATCCATGTCCCCTCGTTCTGTTACTATTCCGTGTGAACATTTCGTCTATGTCCACTCTATCAATCCCTCTGAGTACTTTATACGTTCCTATCATGTCCCCCTCTCCCTTCTTCTTTCTAGTGTCGTAAGGCAAAGTTCCCTCAGGCGCTCCTCATACCCCCCATCCCTCGTAGCTCTGGGACGAGTCACGTTGCAAACCTCTGAACCTCTGTGTGTGTTTCTGTGTGTGGGGGGGGGGGGGGATGAAATTCATATTGTCATTGTAGGCACTGATTGCCTCACCTACAAAAATTGTTGAATTCAGTTATTTGTTCAAATTTCTACCTTCTATGACTATGGTGATAATATAGGTAAAGCGACCAGGCAGGAAAAAACTGTAGTTCATTCTCTCTTTATTTAGAAATAATTAAATATAAACATTTATCTCTCTTGTTGTGTTTGGTGAAGGAAGTGCACACTAAGGGCTTCAGGGCAGGACAAACCGGAAGTCACTGAGTGATTCCTTCCGGGTCCTTTGGAGGATGTTGGTCGGTTACTTTCCGTACCCTCCTCCATGACCACCACCATAGCCGCCGCCGCCACCACCACCACCATAGCCACCTCCGCCATGGCCGCCACCACCGTATCCACCGCCGCCGAAGCCACCACCGCCATGGCCGCCGCCTCCGTAGCCGCCGCCGCCACCGTATCCACCGCCGCCACCATATCCACCGCCGCCGCCACCATATCCACCACCTTTAGGGCCTGCGAGGTTGAAGTTGTTGTTCGATGTTCCACCAACACCTCCGTAGCCACCACCTCCGTGTCCTCCGCCTCCGTACCCAACACCTCCGTGTCCTCCGCCTCCGTAGCCTCCACCTCCGTGTCCACCTCCTCCGAAGCCTCCGGCCCCATATCCTCCTCCGTGTCCACCACCACCTCCGTGTCCACCAGATTGAGCCACGGAGGCCAGAAGAGCCACGCCCAGAAGAGACAAAATCACCTTCTGAAAAAGTATCATAGACGTTAACAACACAAAAGTCGCTTCAGCGAAGAGAAAACTGTAACAATTTATTAATAATAATTACACAGATCAGTGACGTGTGACTGATGTTTACAGACAAATTTATTGTTACAACAAAATCCGGACAAACACACACACACACACACACACACACACACACACACACACACACACACACACACACACACACACACACACCTGACACCATTCACCAGAGACAACATGCACCACACACCTGACAATTGAGGCCTCACGTTAGAGACAGTATTAATTTTTTAACCAATTTGCAAATCTTAGAGATAAAACAGATATAAATGATGTAAGTTTTAATAATGCTTTGAACCGAGCACAAATGTTAACAGGACAATATTAAAACACTCTTTTGACCATGTCGTAGCTCAGTCGATTAAGGCAGCGTCTAGGATGCACTTGGACGCAGGTTCGAATCCTCGTCACGGCCCTTGTGGATTTGTTCAGGTCAATATTAACATTCAACTATATGTCCAGTTATTTCTGGGAAACTCCTGGAAGGTTACCTGAGATGATGTTGAGACATTTGGCTTGCAGAACTATGAGCCATCGGTTGGCACAGCATCCCTCATGTGTTATTACAGCCAAACAAAGAAAATCTTCAATTGCTATTACACTATTTAGAAGGAAAATAGATATATTACCTTTGTGAGAGTGAATACAGGAGAAGCAGTTGGTTAAACACTCTGCCTGTGCGTTAGTGTATTTACAATGGAAAGTAAAACCATTGTTTTACTCTCTTATATTTATACTTGAAGCTAAGTATGGAATGTCCTCCCTTTCCTCGTGTTCCAAAAGGCTGCGCCTGCTCAGTGCTCCTCTCACTGACACAATATTCGTTTTATCCTTATGGTTTATCCGACCTCTGTCTGTGTTCTCTCATTTCCTTTCTTCTCGCGACAAACAGTCGCGAGAAGAAGTCTTCACAGTCTTCTCCCGTGTGTATGTTGACCGATATCCCCGAGGATCTTTCATAGCGAAATCATACCTCCTGTAGCTACTTTGGAACCTGCTATGAGCAAACTTATTGATATATACAATATTATCTATGTATCTAAGGAAATTTTTTTCTGGACTTAATGAAACTTACCTAATCGTAACTGTAAATTTGAACTTCATCTCTTGAACTCACTGCCTTAAAGCCGTTAGCCTTAATACAATGACTCCCGACCTATATGTTTCGTATTATAATAATTTGCATAACCAAGGAGAAGGCTTCAACTAACGCCATGGGTAGTTCATATTATTTTTCTTCTACTCTGTTTGTGGAGTATTTTCTAAGATCTGTAGGGTACTTCGGTCACTATTTTACATCAATGCCACCACGTTCTGTTAATATTATTCATCGTAAAGTTTTCTGCCGTTTCTGTCCTGTTAGTTCCACTAAGAATGTATTGCCATAGTTCTGACACAAGCATTGGTATAAATTTCGGTGTGTATGTTTGAACTAAATTACTTATCATTACAGTATCGAGTAATATATCTCTAGCCCCACCTGTTCATCAATGAGCCAGAAAATGCAATTGCTGTTATTATATAAGTTTTTCGTAGTGTTTTATGTTTAAGTCCTTAAAGAATGAAGGTGTTTGTTTGTGTTCCTATGTGTGTGTGTGTGTGTGTGTGTGTACTCATATATTTGTACTCACCTATTTGTGCTTGCGTGGGTTGAGCTTTGTCTCTTTGGTCTCGCCTCTCAACTGTCAACTAATGGGTGCTTCCTAAGCCTACTAGGCTCTATCATACCTACATTTGAAATTGTGTATGGAGTCAGCCTCCACAACATCACTTCCTAATGCATTCCACTTCTTAAATACTCTGACACTGTAAAAATTCTTTCTAATGTCTCTGTGGCTCATTTGGGTAGTCAGTTTCCACCTGTGTCCCCTTGTTCGTGTTCCACCGGTGCTGAAGAGTTGTCTTTGTGCACACTGACAATTCCTCTGAGAATTTTGTAGGTAGTTATCATGACTCCCCCTTACTCTTCTGTGTTCCAGGGACGTGAGGTTCAGCTCCTTCAGCCTTTCCTCGTAGCTCCTACCTCTTAGTTCCGGGACAAGTCTGGGGGCATACCGCTGAATCTTCTCTAACTTTGTCTTATGTTTAACTAGATATAGACTCCAGGCTGGAGCTGCATATTCCAGGATTGGTCTGACATAAGTGGTATCCAGGGTCCTGAACGATTGCTTACATAAATTTCTAAAGGTAGTACATATGTTGACTTATGTTATACCTAACATATGCCACTGATGATATCCTTTTGATGTGGGCCTCTGGGGACAGGTTCGGTGTGATATCAACCCCCAGATCTTTCTCTCTATTTGATTTCACCTCCCAGATGGTACCTTGTGTTCAGCCTTTTGCTTCCTTCGCCTAATTTCATTACTTTACACTTTCCTGAGTTGAACTTTTGTAGATATTTTCTAATCCATTCCTCCAGTTTGTCCAGGTCATTCAGTAGTCTCTGTCTATCTTCATCTGTCTTGATTCTTCTCATAATTTTTGAATCATTAGCAAATATTGAGAGGAATAAGTCTATACCCTCTGGAAGATCATCTACATATATTAGAAACAGGATGGGTCCAAGTTCAGAGCCTTGTGGGACTCTGCTGGTGACATCTCGCCACTCTGATGTCTCCCCTCCCAGTTACTCGCTGTTTCCTGTTGTTTAGATACTCCCTTATCCACTGGGGGCATCTTACCTTTTACTCCTGCCTGTTGTTCCAACTTTTGTATCAGCCTTTTATGGGGTACTGTGTCAAAGGCTTTCTGAGAGTCCATGAAAATGCATTCTGCCCACACTTCTCTTTCTTGCCAAATTTTTGTTGCTCGGTTATTGAATTCTATTAAACCTGTGATGCACGATTTACCATCTCTGAACCCATGTTGGTGGTGTGTCACAAAACTATTTCCCTCCAGATGCTCTACGAGCCTTTTCCTCACGATCTTCTCCATCACCTTGCATGGTATACAAGTTAGGGAAACTGGCCTATAGTTCAGTGCCTCTTGCCTGTCACCCTTTTTTGTATATTGGGACTACATTAGCTGTCTAAGCAAACGTAAGTGAAACTGAACGCTGTAAGCATGTAAGTGAGCACTGTCCACTCACCCGCGAGGCCTTTCGTGTGTGTGTGTGTGTGTGTGTGTGTGTGTGTGTGTGTGTGTGTGTGTGTGTGTGTGTGTGTGTGTGTGTGTGTGTGTGTGTGTGTGTATTCACCAAGTTGTGCTTGCGGAGGTTGAGCTCTGCTTATTCAGCCCGCCTCTCAACTGTCAATCAATCAACTGTAATTAACTACTAATTTCCCCCTCCCCCCTCCCTCACCATTTTTTTTTTTTTTTGTATGTGTGTGTGTTTAGTTTGCTTAGCCTGTTTGTATTGCTTTATAAAGCAAGTTCTAAAATTTATGAATAGGTATTCTCATTCCATTTACACTCTCACACTAATGTTCTTCCAGGCATCCCAGCGACACATCTGAGGTTCCAGCTATCATTTAAGTTCTCTTCTTCCTCCAGAACCTCTTGTAACTCCTTTCTCTCTCGAATCCTCTTCAGAATTTGATGTAGCAATAGTCTCCAGTCCGACTATGTGTGTGATGAAGCCTGTTGTTTATACGGAAATGTGAAGCTCACCAAACCAACCACAGGCCGTCACGGGGACGTCCAGAGAGGAACATTACCATTGTGTGGATGTGTCCGGCGGCGGCTGGCGACGGACTGTAGCGTCGAGAGTGGCTTCCTCGCCTTATATACGCTCTTCTCGCTTCACCAACACAATACAATCAATTCCAGTCAGCCAATTTGTGATGAAACTAACTTGTGAGCATTTGCACAATTTCATAAATAAATGATATTTAGCCATCTGAAACACGGAATATTGTATAGGTGATTTATTTTATGAAATTAGTGTTGTTTAATCTTTCATACGTTCGTGAATGGAAATTGAAGCAACAAATTACATCACTATCGTGTTAATCAACATATGTTTAGTTGTATGAACAATAGTAATATAAAATAAAGTGGATGGAAATATTGGCAAGAAAAATACGTTAACATGCTTTGGTGGATTTTTTTATTTATAATAAGGGTTCGCGAACCATAATCATAAAGGGAACTGATGAAAACCAATTGAATCGAGAATTAAGCTCTTGGATTACCTCTGTGTGTGTACTCACCTAGTTGTGCTTGCGGGGGTTGAGCTTTGGCTTTTTGGTCCCGCCTCTCAACCGTCAATCAACGGATGTACAGGTTCCTGAGCCTACTGGGATCTATCATATCAGCATTTGAAACTGTGTATATAGTCAGCCTTCACCACATCACTTCCTAGTGTATTCCATTTATTAACTACTCTGACACTGAAAAAATTCTTTCTAACGTCTCTGTGGCTCATCTGGGTTCTAAGTTTCCACCAGTGTCCCCTTGTTCCACCCGTGCTGAAGAGTTTGTCTTTCTCCACCCTGTCAATTCCCCTGAGAATTTTGTAGGTGGTTATCATGTCTCCCCTTACACTTCTGTTTTCCAGGGATGTGAGGTTCAGCTCCTTTAGCCTTTCCTCGTTGCTCATTCCTCCCAGTTCCGGGACGAGCCTGGTGGCATACCGCTGAATCTTCTCTAGCTTTGTCTTGTGTTTAACTAGGTATGGACTCCAGGCTGGAGCTGCATACTCCAGGATTGGTCTTACATAAGTGGTATACAGGGTTCTGAAAGATTGCCTACACAAGTTTCTAAAGGCAGTTCTTATGTTGGCCAGTCTTGCATATGCCGCTGATGATATTCTTTTGATGTGGGCCTCTGGGGACAGGTTCGGTGTGATATCAACCCCCAGATCCTTCTCTCTATTTGACTCTTGCAGGATTTCACCTCCCAGATGATACCTTGTGTTCAGCCTCATGCTCCCTTCGTCTAATTTCATCACCTTACGCTTTCCTGAGTTGAACTTTAGCAGCCATTTTCTAGACCATTCCTCCAGTTTA